GTTCTAGGACAGCAAAGCTATTTGCTTGCAGTAAATAATTTCAGATGGGTGAACTGGAAAATAGCAAAGTGTAGATTTGGGGACTGCATTTCTGAGGAGGAAATTACTGCACATTTATTGCTGCAAAACCAACAGAGTGCTGAATTCCTGTCTCTGTGGTAGAATTCTAAGTAACATTTTGCACACAAAAATCCCTGCTGTGTGGGAAGTGGATGAGAAATACATGGGACGTTGTGCTCTCAGGCCAAATTTTAAAAATTGCTATGAAAGATGTATAAATTGAAAATAAGTTGCTGGGAGAGAAGCAGAACTGTAGTTTGTGCAGGCAGTAAGACACATTTGAGTGTGTTTGTTCAGGAAACGTGATTATAAGAAAAAACCCCCATGAATGTTTTCTCACTAAGGATGTCTTTCCAGGAGAGCTCAGAGACTGATCCCAACTGTGTATGCAAGGAAGCTGGCACTCTGACAGAGAGCACCGTTGTGTCTGCAGAGTGTGACAAGCTGCAGAATTTTAAAGATAAATTACTTGGCTCTGAAGCACAGCAGCTTACTTGCTTTCACAGATTTGTGTTACTGACTAGAATATGTGTTCTTTGGTGTCTCAGAAATCCAACAGGGCAGCAAAGATGCACAGTTGCTTTAACAGCATTAGAGAAGGGCAAGCTTTCATGGTGTGCAGTCTTCAAAAGTCTCCTGACGAGAGAAATCTCCTGGAGTGGCAGTGAGGAAGGGTGAGCACTGCATGTGAGCAGCAGCATGAGCAATAGTTAGCACTGGTGCATGGTAATCCCAGAGGATGCCCCAGCTACTGAGGAAAGCAGGTATTTTTATAGCTGTACTTCTTAGAAAAATGTTGAAAATGTGGAAATCTGAGAGAGCATCATTAGCAGTTGTACATTATGGTGCATATGGGCATCATGAGGCCAAATTCTGCTGCTGCTGAGAAAAACTTCCAGGTCACTGAAATATCAGCCAGTTTGAAAATCATGCGTTATTCTCCTGTCTAAAACCACAGTGAAGATTTGTGATTTTTCACAAAGTGAGAATAAAATGATAGTCAGGAATTGAAAGACTGAATGAATGGTCAAAGGACCATAATTAATGTTTGAGCTTAATGTACTTACCATGTCCACAGCTTCTATCTTTGCTAGTGAAAAGATCTTCCATATGACCTGGGAGTAAATAGTAATAGTTACTTTTGTTGAATTTATCAAACAGCTGTGAAATATTCCTTTATGAGGTATGGGAATAACCTTTTTCAAAACGCTCCCAAGCCAAGGCTGATCTAAAAGTCACAAGGCTTTGTTAAATGGAGTGTCAGGCTTGAGTTGATGCTGTAAACCCCGCAGGGAGAGAATCACAGATTTACTGATGCTACTCAGGTTTTGGGTAAGAGTTGGCTGCAGTCCATCTGGCTTGCCTTGCTTGTGGAGCGAGTGTACTTTAGAATCCAGCTCATCTGGGAACAGCAAAAACCTCCTTGACCAGCACAAGTGATATGGCAGCTTGCCAGGAGCTCATAATAGATGAGAGCATTCCCTTGTTGGAAGCGAAGCCTGTGATGGTTATTCAAGCAAATTCAATGTGTTTCCTTTAAGTATGCAAATATGGTTATTAGCCCTTGATGGAAAGTGTGGAGTGTTGGTACATTTAGCAACTCAGATCATGAGCTTGTGTAAGTCACAGAAATCATCATCTGGGATATTGTTAATTGTCGAAGTATGTCAACAATTTGCCTTCCTTGGGTTTTACTATTAGAATTTGCTGTGTGGGACTGTGCAAACACAAGTGACAAAGAAAGCACCTGGCCATTCGAATCCATATAATACTTTGTCTAAAATGTTTTAAAAATGAATTTTAACCTTCCTTGCTGCTGTTTTTCCTCAGAACTCTTTGGAGAAATTAATTAAAAGTGCTGCCATCTGTTTATCTTACATTTCATACCAAGGGTAAAAAAAGAATGCCAGTACTTTTGAGGCAGCATTGTATAATTTTGTTATTAAAAATACATGTTAAGTGTACAGTGAGTACTAGTACATTGGTCTCACTTTTGTGAGTTGTTGCAGTGCTTTTTCAAAAACATTTTAGTCTTTTAATCTTAAAAGAAAACAACTCTGTGTGAAATCTGTGGGTAATAATCACTGGGTGGAAATGGCCTTCTGGAGATTATTTTGTTCTGGAGGTAACACCAGGCACAGCAGTACCTGACTTCTCACTGGGCTCCAGTACCTGCTGCATTGGCAGCTTCAAAGGTAAAGTCAGCCTTGGCTCAAGCTGATGCTGACAGATTATCTGGACTCCTTTTTATTCTTTTGGATGTGGATTTCTGGGTTTTGTCTTTGAATTAGTGGAGTTCATCCAAAGTTCTATCCCTTTCATGTAAGAACTTGCCCAAAAGAGGAGGTGTATAGGTCATTTGTTCTGAAAAGCTGTTTTTCTGGGAAAAACATCCATATTATGGTTCATATTTCATTTTGTTTTTAAAGTACTCTGTGGAGGAAGAAGCAACTTACCTCTTTCAGAAAACTTTTTTTTTCTCGTTTTAATTTTCTCCTTGCCCCCCCCCCCTTTTTTTTTTTTAAGAAACAAACCAGTGTTTTCACAAGACAGACAATCTTAATGATAAGTCCTGATAGAAGAACATGTGGGGTAATTCTTTTACTTTCACCAGTTATATTTTAGTTTCTCACAATATAAATTGATAGTGTAATTGGTTATTTCTGCAGTGTAAAATTAGCACAATTAGGTGGATTTTGCTCTCTGTGCTGTATTACCTACTTTAATTCACTTGGACTAATGAAGAAGATAGAAATTTCACCCTGCAGGTGATATTTTATAGTTCTTGTAATATATGGCAGGTGCTGATTATTGAGGCTGTAAAAGGGGAGAATTGGATGTTAGAGAAGATAAATAAGAGTGGGGGAGGGGACCAAAGGGGAAAGACAGTATGTGCAAAGACCTCGAGGTAAGCTGCTTTCAGTGTACTGTTTAAACTTGAATGACCCTCGTAGAGATTTTAGCAACAAAGTAATGGCCAGTAGAGGAATTAAAGGCCTCAGGTGATGATCTGAGCAGCAAAAGCTGACAGAGACCATAAATACTATTACAGTTTGACACAGGCTCTGCTAGGAGGAAGTTGTTTTGTTCACAGTGTTTGTGAATGTGTGGTCGTTCAATAATTATTGAGGAAAGAGCTGGTGAAAACCTCAGTTATTTCAGGTGAAATCTTAGGGTTTCCTCAGGTTAAAAGTTCTTGTTTCTGTTAGAAGGTACCTTTCAAAACAGTTGTTCTTTATCTTTGGTTTGTATCCATACCTTTTTTCAGCAGTAATTTTCTCATAATTTTCTTTAAAAAAACCCCAACGTATCCAAATCTCTCTGAGCTTTAGTTCCAAGAAATTGTCCAAGTTCTAAGATGGGGATCCCTTGAAAATTGCTCACAACTCTTCTTTTCTGAAAAAGGCCTCTGTTTAATTTGTGGGATATTAACAGTTTCTAGACATGCACTGATCAAATGTCTAAAATTCTTATTTGTAATTACAGTAGCTGTTTTACAGCTCAGTGGCAACAAAACCAGCACAAGAAAGACTCCTCTGTGCTGTCTGGCTAAATAGCAAGAGCTATGGAGCACAGGCTAAAGCAAGCTCTTCCGAATTTTTTCTTATCATCTCTTCATCCAGGTTGTCAGGTTGCCTCATTCTTGGTCATAGAGCTTCCTTGCAGGCTTGCAGTCCTTTCTTCATGATACCTGTGATGATACTCACTTTGAAGCAGCTTTATGATATTTTCCACTTTGCTGTCTGCCTTCTGCCTAGGATGAACTCCAGTTTGATGCTAAGGATGCTTGTGGAGGAAACTGATGCAGCCAGATGCCATGTTGCTTTTGTGTTGCTTCCTAGAGTGATTAACTTGTCAGATTGCTCTCCTAAAGACCAGTATGAGAGATGATATGTACTTATCTTAATTCAAAGCCAGATGACCCCTGGAGTTAGTTCAGCCTGATAGAAAACCCTGAATAGGACAGCAAGGGGTAACAGTGCTGTGGAAGCTCTGTAGTTTCCTTTCTGCACAGTAAAAGATTGAGACACACATTTGGCCTTTCATTCTTTTTCTTTGACAAAAGTAGAAGGGTGAGAGAAGAAAGTTCCACATTATTCAGTTTAGAAATGTACCACTCATTTGCATGTCTTTGTATCTATTATTTACTTGCTAGGGTGACTGATAGTCCTGCTCACATATATGCATGAGATGACAAGGCACTGACAACAGAATGACATTGGTAACAACACATGGCTTGTCAACATATATTGCTAAAATATGCTATGTCTTGTGGAACATTAAATATGTAATATGGAATGAACATTAACATTTACAACATTAGGTTGTAAAAAAAAAAATAGTGAAGGCGATTACCTTAAAGTTCACTAAGATAAGTCTTTGTCTTTTCTGAAAACATGAGCTAGTACCTTTAAAAAATATAGTGAGAAAATACCACGTATTCATTCTCATTGGCTAATACAAATGATTCATTAAATCTCTGTTGTATTTGAGAGAAAGGAGTATTATTGCTTTAAACCCTTTTCTTAGGATAAATGCTGCACTTAATTTAGACAGCAACTCTGTTGTTAGGAAAGATTATGTTTTGAAAGGACATGCTTGAGTTTTGTCTGAGAGAAAAAAAATACCTTCAAGTGTAGGAGTGCTCTTGGTGTCTGGTTGCTCAGACATGAGTGATTCACTTAGAGGAGGTTGTGTAAAGAAAGAATCTTTTGCTCCAGCTCATTTTGGCCTCAGAGGTGACCAGCAAGGTGGAGAAAATAACATTGAATGGGAAGGTGTGATCTTCAAAAACTGGATGTGTGGAACTCATGAACATAGAAGATACTAAAGTATTGATTGTCAGGTTATTAAGCTCATTTAAGTCACTAAAAAAGAGAGCAAATCAATATAAAATATCTGGATACTCTTTAAGATTACATGTATGTTTTGCTTTTCAGCTTCCCTTTTGAAAGGATTGAAACATGCAAACATTGTGCTGCTTCATGACATCATTCACACCAAGGAGACCTTGACACTTGTGTTTGAATATGTGGTGAGTAAAGTGACTGTATGTTCTAGATATGGTCCAGAGTGTATTGAATTTTAGGGAAGTGCTCTCTTTACCATCAGTGATCTGTGAATCAGGCCAAAATAACCCTTTACTTTATTCAGGAGAGTGATGGCTATAAGACATTTTGCTTTGTAGTGGAGTAGGCTAAAAGTGAAAGCTGGATTAAATCAGCTTCAGAGATGGAGAAGTAGTTGCTAGGCTCTTGAAGGACCTTAGGCTGTTGAGTTGACTTTTCAAACTTACTCTGCTTCCTAGTTATAGTTTGTTTATTGGAGCTTTTTCTTTATTGATGTTATCAGGTAACTTTAAATAGGTGAGAATTATGTAGGGAAGAACAGGAATGGAGAAATGCTTAGCAGGTAGCTCCTTGATGAAAAGCATATTTCAAGTTTAAGTTGTCTTTTTATTTGTGATTGGCTTGTGCAGAGTGCCTTTTTATAAGTGATGTGAGTAAAAAAAAAAAGTCCGGTGCATACAATTTAGAATTTGGGGATTTTTTTTAGTTTTTCCATGACTAGTGCTTTACCTATTAATTAAAACTTCAATTTACATAGTAGGCAGTGTAAGGATCTAATTGTGTTGAGAGTATTACTTTCCAAAGTACTGGCCTTGGCCTCCTAATTAATCTTTTTAGTTTTTCTAAGACAAACATATGGCATTTATGTAGAACTACTTTAGCATTTAGCTGTGGAATTATGCAATGTACTATCATAATTAACCTCCCAGTTTTCACAGATGGGTCCAAGAACATGTAATTTGAAAGAAACAAATTACTTTAGACACCGTTAAATTTTCAGTATGGTATCAGTTATTGTATTATAGTCTGTAAGACACAGTGTTCGTGAAGTATAGTGATTACCAGCATTACTCTAAATACAACTCTGCTTAAGACAGATGAAATTATTTTGTGTGTTTCTTTGGGACAGGCCTTAATTTTTACATGATAGTGCACGCAGCATCACAGAATCCTGCCTGGAGAAGCCGTTCACCTTGTGTATTTATGTGAATGTAATGCACTGCACACAGGGTGTGGGTATTCAGCTGCAGCAGCCTGCAGAGCATTTGATACAGTATGTATTTTTTTACCTCAGGTATTGGAACAGTTATAAAAATTTATTTCCTTTTTTTAAAATTAGTAATTCTCCTGCTTCTGACTTACACACTGAATTAACATAGCAAAAGCCTTGATACTTAATTTTATGTAATGGCCACTTATTTGCATATCTTTACACAAATACATTTTGCAATCCCATTTATCAGCAGCTGTATTTAGCTGTATTCTTTGGCACTGGTTGAGAAATTAGATGTACAGAATAGGTTTCTCCCTAAAATAAATGGATTTGCCTATTACACTAATTTCAAATTGATGGATTTTACATTTTGCGTATTACACTGATGCAAGTTTCTGGATTTTGTATCCAATAAGGTTGTTTAAGATAGGTTGTTTAAGACAGCCATGTACAGACACAGGTTAAGCTTCATGCAGTGGCACATTCTTCTGGATTCACTAAGCTGTTTTGCAACAAGGGACTAACCCTGCTGGAGGTTGCACCTTTTGGTTCTCATGGTGTTTGGTAGCTATTGAGACTGTTTGAGAATCTCATTTATAATGGTTTCTAGCAACTGATCCAAGTAATATTTTAGTGTTTAGGCTGATAGGCAATCTCTCAAGGTGCTGCTGGGGAAGAAGGGAAGGATTCTTTATTCTCTTCAAACAGCATAAAGACTGTATAATAAAGACATTGTAACATACTCCTGTGCCTTGAGTGACAACATTTCCTAACAAAAGTCTGTTTTCATTGTTCAGTAATGTAAAGTTATAGTCTGATCAAATAGTGAGTGCTGTCTGATAATGCCTGAGAATGGCCACATAACCTGAAATGAATTCTTGTGGGTGTGCATGATACAGGTTTTAATTGCATGACTGCATGGATCTCATTTGTTTCTCTGGTTCTAAAGCTTCCATTCAGTACATGGCATGAATGTGCAGAGGCAAAAATTACAGTTGCCCATTTAGATGTACAAATTTTGGCTGGCTGAGTATGCAATCTAGCTGTGTAATTGGTGTTACTGAGCTCTGTATCTGTAATGTCTGGTTTGTTGTTATTTTAACACCTGTATGTGGTTTAGCTCAATCATATGGGTAATTTGCAGTGAAAGAAGTCAAAATACTCATGTGATTAAAATTACATGGTGGTGTACATTTTTGAGTGACTGAATCCTAACCTAAAAGGGATTGAATTTGATTTATTTCATAAAGGGATATCATCTACTGATACACTATTGCCATTGATCACTACTGACCTTTTCACACATAATAAAAGACATCTGAGTGGGTTATCTTGACTAAATTAAGAATGAACAGTTAGTGATCCGAAAATTCTAAGAAAATGCAAACTTTGGGTTGCTAGGTTGGTGATGATTCCTTAGGGAAAATAATACTGGTGAAATGTCTGAGTTTATCAGAGGTGTTTGATTTCAGCATTGACCCTGAAAGAGTAAAATGAAATTTTATTTCATGTAGCACCTTAAACTGCAAAAATGCATTATTGTAGTAAGTTAAATGCTGAAAGCAGAATAGCTTCTGAAAGGGAACATGGCAGTCATTGAATACTCTGAAATTAGTTTTTTAAAAATATGTATGTCTGTCAGATGAAGACATGACAGATTTTTTTAACTTTAACCTTGGTGTTCTGCAAAGCCGGGAAAAGCCAAACTTTAAAAATTCCATCCATAATAGTTGAAGATCAGGAAAAATTTATTCTCTGTGTAAACATTTTGGTGGTGAATGTGGAGCTGTACATTTATGTGGAAGACAAGAAAGGGAGCTTACTCCTTTTGAATGAAAGAACTTAGTTGAAAATAGTTCAGAATACAGTACCTTGTTACTAAGGCATATGTTAACTCTTACATCGGCATATTGCAAAGCATGCTTAGAGCTCAGTTTTACCACTGGGTGGCTGAGAGGCATTATTACCTGGGGAGTTTTGAGAACAAACTGCTCGGAATTTCCTCTATAAAATGTGAATGGCAGATAGTCTTTCACGTATAAATGGTAAAGAAAATGATTTATGTATAGTTGACTGGAGTGTGCTAAGCAAGACCTGAAAATGAGATTTTGACACACTTTACATGTGCTGTCTGAGACGGTGGTGACTTCCCAAGTAAAAGGTCAGTTCAGCTTTACAGTTCAGTGGAGGCGTGCGACTGTTCACAAAGGTTTTGTTCCCTTCCTCACCAGGCTCTGGTTGGGAGTTTAGGTGATCTCATGGGGACAGTGGCTTCAGTGCCAGTGTCCCTGGTATGGCCAGCTTTGCCCAAGGAGGTGGTGGATTTTATAGCTGAGATCTCTGAAGGTGGGTTCACATCTGTTTGCTTTAAAATGATCATTAGCTGCTGCCATTTGCTGCTTCACTTGTTTATTGAGAAGGAAGATGGCTGAATTTAGAAACATAATTGCTGAAAGGCAATCCTAAGCAAAACGTATTTCCTATGTAGAATGATAATGAGGTTTTTAGTATTATGCATAATTATGTAAGTATATTATTATCAATAAATGAACCAGCAGCTTGTCCTATTCCTGGCATGAAAAAGTGAGCTAGTATAGCAATACTTCACATCATGCTTTCAATATTTATGAACTAGGTTTGCAACAAGAACAGATACTTATAATTGGAAGGATGAGTAATGAGCAATATTATGTCTGCCTCAACAGTGAAAAAGCTCTGGAGTAATCTAATAATGTAATTTAAACCCAAGCATTTTCAATTGCCTTGCCTATTTTAATATTTGTGTATGTTTTTGCTTCAAAAAATTACTTTCCATTAAAGAATAACATTTAATTTTCATTACTTCCTTACAGCAGCTAAAATAGGTTGTTATACAATGAGTTTACTTAATAAAGTTCATTAGTTACATTTCCCTCCCATTTCCTGTAAGAAAAAAAAAATAGGTGTGAGTTTCTCATTTTATAGCTTATTGGAAATAGACATGTATATTCTTTATCAGAATTAAGAATTACACAGCTGAGATTTTGAGTTTATCTTGGGACGAATTTATCTTACATAATACTTAGAAAGTATAATGTAATAAAATGGGCAAAGTTAATCACCTGCAAGGATCAAAATTTTTTCCATTGAAAAATTTAAATTTCTTATTACTTTTGATGATTTGGATTGAACACTATTATTGTTTTTCCATTTTTATTTTTTTTTATTTGGGATCAAGTGTTGAAAATAAAGGTATGATGGCATTGATTGTTTGTGAAAACAAAGAAACAAAAAAAATCACATTTTTTTTTTAGTGAGTGAGAGAGCAGGGAAAATTAGTAGTGTCCCAGAGCAGCTTTTGAGCTGTTATCACTAGGATCCTTCAGTGATGTGTAATACCTAGAGAGAAACCAGGCACAAGAAGGAAGGAGGAATCTTCTAATCCTTGACTTAAAGTGAAACTTACTTGGAGCCTGAATTACATTATTTTGGTGTGCAAGTGAAATGATGGGTGATTTTCTTCCCGTTTGAAATCAAGGCGCCTGTCCAGCTGTGGTAAGCCAGAACTGAAAGCTAGTGAAGCTCTGCAAAGAGCCAGGTGCCTGCAGTCACCCTTGCTTGCTGTGAACATGCTTGTCCTCCCTGGCAAGGAGCAGCACTCAGGGCTCCCAGCATGGGAACATTAAATGTAATAGTTTCTGTTTACCTTGACCAGAGAAGGAACTGTTCCCATGCAGTTTAACCCTGCCTCATGCCCCAGGCTTGCATTAAGTTGCATTGCTTAAATTGCAGCTAAAAAGATGACAGATCAAGGCTGAGAGTAAACAGAGAGAAAGGAAATCATGTACTATTGAGAAGAGGCAGTAAGGGAATAGGGCTCTTGGGAAAACCTTGTTTTTCAAGTTTTAATGAGTGGATCAGAGACAGGTGCTGCTGATGTCCAAGTATAGGCTGGAAATGACAACAAAATAGGTTTAAGGAGGGAGGGATTGA